TTTATATGATTGCAAGTAGTGAAAACATGCATGAGATAAGGTCATTTTGATCCGCTTTCCATGCATGCTGCTGAAAAGTTTGCATGGACTCTGCTCAGAGCAGAGAGCATCTCCGGGAAAGAGTTGCTTCAATTGTATGACATGTTACCACACGAGCCCTCGCCGAGAGCTGATTCAGGTTCGTGCTTCGGGAGCGGTGCCTATGTTCATGGGGGCGTCGTTGGGGTGCGAAGTCATGCACGCGACTTCCCTCTCATCACCATGTGCTTTGCCTTGTGGCTTCGGCGTGTTTGTCCGGATCATAAGTTTACGTCTTGCATTGTGTTAGATAACCACACTGCCGAAATGCACCGCTCTTCAGTGCTCAATGTCGTTGTGCCAACATCTTCCTTTCAGGATGGGCTTGTCTGGGTGGAAGGCGAGGGCACTGAGCACAAGACGCTGGGAAAAGTCCAGGTTCAAGGAGGCCCTGTGCAGTGGTGCAACGGGGCCATCAAGTTTGCTGCCAACGAGCTCGCTCATTGCGTGCTGCCTTGGACGGTCGCAGGACCGTAGTGGTAGGGTTTAGTGTTCGGTTTAGCGAAAAGTTGGCCGGTGCCGATCGCCGCTTCTTGATTTCATTGGGTTTCCCACTGGATATCCGATCACGTAAGAGCCTTTGTCCCCCTACGCCTGCCGATTCCCCGTATAAGGCTTGCAAAACCTTGCTTAAAAGTGCTGCAGCGCCCGCACCTTCTTCGTTGCTTGATGAGGCGAGCGCAGGGTCTCCCGCTGGTTCGATCCTTAGGCCAATCATGTCATGATCGAGTTGTGCGCGGGCTCAGCGCTCTTGTCTGCTACAGCTCGTGAGCGAGGCTACGCGATTCTTCCTGTGGACTGGAGTGGCAACAAACATCGCAGCTTCGCGCGCACTCTGCAACTTGATTTTCGAAAGGACAGCACCTGGTCCTTCATTCGTCGAGTCTTCGAATGTCGCAGAGTTGTATGTGTGCACATTGCACCTCCTTGCGGTACAGCTAGCCGTGCCCGCGGTATCGGGCCCGGCCCAAAGGCCCTTCGTTCTCTGCGTCATCCCCGAGGCCTACCGGGCTTGAGTGAAAACGATCAGGCGCGCGTGGACAGTGCAAACCTCATCTACGACAACGCTGCAGACTTTTGCAAGTGGCTGCTGCAAAAGAGCCCCGCCACTGGCTTCACTGTCGAAAACCCCTTGCACTCTTGGATGTGGCAACTGCCTTCCTTTCAAGAGCTTCAGCAGCAGTGCAGCTTTGTCAGTTTTGACGCATGTCGTCATGGCTCCTCTAGAAATAAAGCAGCCGCCTTGCTTACCAACATTGAATGCGTTGGGGGCTTGAGTGGTCCGTGCCCTGGCTGCAAATCACATGCGCCTTGGGGTCGCACTCGCGACGGCTTCGCCACTTCCGCCGAAGCAGCTTATCCCAAGCTTTTGCGCGAGCGGATTGTGGCCTGCATTGACATTTTTGCTGCCGCGCAAGAGTGCCTGCCTCTTGCCAATCACACTACCCCGCTTGCAGAAGCCAGAGCTGCTGCGCAAAGGCAGCCGCGAGGGCGCCCATCATCTCCGAGTTCTCGCGCACCATGTCAGTCCAGGCATCGGCCTTGCCTCCCCTAGACGGCAAACATTGCTTGACTGCTTCGTGGAATCGTGTGCCTGTGGGTTCCAAGCTGCTCCGGGTATCAGTCGAAAGGGGAGGTCAAGACACCAGAGCCAGCTTTCTGCAAGGCGTTGAGGAAGAAGGCGAGCCGATCAGCCCCTTCTTTGTGTTCGGGGTATACCGTTCCCCCGATTTCTTCGCGAGGCTTCTATGCTGAAGCACCCCTTTGATGTGGCTCGCGCTTTGCCTGATGGCATGGTAAGAGCTTTGTTCAAAGTGCTTGTTGAGGGCCCGGTTGCTGTCATCAGGACCCGCTTGAACTTGCTGAAGCTATGGAAAAGTTGGGCCCTCGAACTTGAGCCTGCAGAATCTAAGCTTGGGGCCGGCCTGGCGCCGTCCGTGAGACAGGTGCTCAGTGGCAAGCGGACGCTCTTGCTTCAGAAGATAGCTGCTTCTTTTGATTGGCCCGACAAGAGCTTGCGCCGTGACATCACCCAAGGCTTTAAACTTACCGGGTATCTCGAGTGTACTGATGTTTTCCACCCCGACGAAAAACCTGCCTACAGCACAGAACAGGATTTTTGGGATGGAGCCCCAGTGCTTCGCGATTCCTTGTGGGAAAAAGTTGCAAGCCATAAAGTGCAGGACTACTCTCAAGCCTTATGGGACATCACCATGGACGAAGCCGATTCGCAAGGCAAAGGTTGGCTCCAGGGGCCGTTGAGCAAAGCCCAGCTTGATGCAATGTTCCCAGAGGGCTGGTCGCCATGCAGACGCTTTGCCGTGTGGCAGGGCAAATGGAGGCCGATCGACGACTTCTCTGAGTGGGATTAATGCCTGCTTCGGGTGCTTCGAGCGCATAAGTCTTAAGGCACTTGATGAGATCACTTGGGCTTGCGTTCAGATCTTCAAGTGTGCCGTTGCGCGGGGGGATGTTTCCTTCACGCTGCAGGATGGCTCGATCTTGAAAGGAAAGCTTCACTCGGCTTGGCGTGACGTGGATCGTGTCAGGCCGCTGAGCAAAACTTATGATCTGAAGGCGGCCTACAAGCAGATGCCTCTCCACCCGGATGAGCGCAGGAAAGCCATCATCATTTTGAAAAATCCTTCAACGCTTCAGGTCCAAGCGTTCGTGTGCAACACGCTACCTTTTGGATCGTCGGCCTCGGTGCTACACTTCAACCGAGTGTCGCTGCTGCTTCAGCGTGTCATGTGGGAACTCTGTCTGATTTCCGCGTGCTACTACGATGATTTCCCCTCCGCGATGCCTGCCATGCTGAGTGAGGGGAGTGATAACATCGTCCACACCGTGATGCAGCTACTAGGCTACGACATGTCCATCGATAAGGAGACTCCCTACTCCACTTCTCTAGTGAGATGCTAGGTCCGCTAGGTGTCGTGCTGGACACAAGTGATCCTGCATTGGAGTGTGTGCAGTTGAGGAACAAGACTGAAAAGGCTGAGGCGATGAGCCAGTCTCTTGGAAAGATCCTAGAAGATGGGGTCGTCTCGTCTCGCGAGCTTCCTTCAATGCTGGGGCGTTTGCAATTTCTCGAATCGCAGCTTTTTGGCAGAGTGGGTAAGCTTGCTTTGGCCGACCTGCGTCAAGTCGAGAAATCCTCTCATGATACTGTGAATCTTGATGGCACACACCTTGATGCTTTGAAGCTGCTCCGGGCCCGTCTGCTGGCGAGCAAGCCTCGGAGGATTGTCGCGTCACTGTCGACGCCGCCAGTTCTGCTGTTCAGTGATGGCGCGTGTGAGCCGTCCGGTAGCTCCTTCACTGCGACGATCGGCGGAGTGCTCAGCTGAAGAGTTTGTTGAGACCGCTTTCTGCGCTGGTGTTGTCCGACGCGGCGGGCAGAACAAAACGCACTTATAGATTTCAAACCATAACGCTGGTAGAACTTCATAGTAAAAGTTGTGATCTTTGTTGGACGAACATGTTGTCCAAACTTCATAGAAAATTCCTGATGTTTGTTTGACAAACATATCGCCCAAGTTATGTGGGCAACCGGATATGACATGACTGATAAAGGTCCACGAATATTGCCCAAAGCTATATGGGCTTCAGAATGTAAGACGAAGAGGATCTTCAAGATCTCTTGGAAAAGTAAACTTCAATATGTTCATACGCCTGTTTTGGGACGCTACAACCACA